CCTGGGCTGCTGTGAGGTTCATTAGTTGGGTCTTAAATAACACCATAAAAATCAGCAGAGAAGCAGTTTTAGGACTGGCACGGTTGTGCCGCAGAACCACTCAGCTATGGGGTATGACATCAGCCGAGGAAGTTCCTCTTCCTTCAAGAATTAATTGTATTTCTTGCCTTTCCTGGCAGAAGGCGCTTCTGCTACTGGAGAAGTGGCCCAAGTCAAACCCACGGCAGCAGGAGCAGTTTGAGAACAGCCTCCCAGGATCATCGGCGCGATTCCTCACAGCCGGGCTCTTTTCCGGACACGTTTCATGATAATAATAGGCAGCCTCGGAGGGAGCAGCGGCAGTGAATTGCTGCTGTCAGGAATCCTGGTGACAGCTTTGCCACCCGGTACTTCTGGGATCACCCGAGAGCGCCCGATTCTGAATTACCCTCAGTTCCCAGAAGTTCTCCCCACTTTGAAACACCAACTCCTCTAGAACGAAAGCAGCAGCTAAATTCTAGTCACTATGAAATAACGCAATCTAAAGTCAACGAGGTGACCGTGGTATCTACGGACAAGAAACAATTTCCCCTTAAACTGTCTTCAAGAGGCTTCCCCCAGCAGAACGCAGGAGTTGGGTGAGGTGGGGACCTCTAGCTGTAAGGAGCGATTTCCCATTTCACTTCACCACGACGCGGTACGCTTCCAAAGCACAGAATCAAAGCGGCAGCCGAGACAAATAATTAACACCCACCCCCCACCCCCGCACACACAACAGTAGGCTGCCCTTTAGCAGAAACAAGGTTTAAGTACAAGCCAGATGATTCAACTGCAGCGGTATTAGCTTCGTTTGGCTGTATTTAAATAAAATAAAGCATTAAAAAAAAAAAAAAACCAAAACAAAACCCCAGGCACTAAAATACCCTCACTGCTTACACCACGTACCAGCCAAGCCCCACGTCAGTGGCACGCGACAGCTTCTCCCCCCCTCCCTGGGCAGAGTGTTGACAATTTGTGGGTGTCACAGAACACGAGACACCTTTTCCCCGAAGCAGCGGAACAAGAGGATTGAGAAGAGTCAGCTCCCAGCCAGCACCCAAGGTTGCTCGGTTCAAGCCTGCGGCCACAAGTTCCACGGTGTTCCCAGTAAGACACAATCAGACGAGGAGAGCGCCGGTACCCGATAACCACAAGCGAGGAACAGGCACATCTCCCCCCCGCTGCAGGCGGCGTTTGCTCGTGCAGTTCAGCCCTCAGAGCTTCTTCAGGCGACTGTACAGTTCCCTTTTGCTCTTCTCACCAGCCCAGGTTCGGCTTTTGGTGCGGAACCTTTTCAAGTCTTCTTTGAAGTCCTCGTGGTGCATGGGGCGATAGCTCTGGGGCTCGCAGAAGCTCTGGGGAAAGAGAAGATGGTTTCACTTCAATACGTCACAGGAGCGATGATCTCTTCGAGACCCGCCAACAGAGCCTGGTAGCAACCATGTGAACAACCACCAGCAGAACAACCAGGCCTAGAGCCCCC